GGTGTTTAAAGATTTGTGAAAATTTCCAAAACTAATTTGCATTCAGTTAAAGCCAGTAAATCTGATTGCCTTGGTCTTACAATCTATTTACTGATCAGATTGTTTGTAGTAAGAATGTATTAATAAAATAACTGTAACAATATCCTGTCAACTGCAGGTTTCATCTGAAAATGATGTCAAGCAAGCCATCAAAACAGCTGTAGACAAGTGTGGTCCTCTGCGTGTCTCAGTGAACACTGCAGGAATAATACAAATTGCAAAAACATTGTCTGACATAGGAGAAGTTCACCCTCTTCAAATGTTTGAGGAGATAACAAAGGTATTAAAAAAATAAATCAAAAATATTAGTATATGCAAACGAAGGTAAACATTGTTCAACTTTTTTTAGACACAGACACAAGTTGACTAGACACTTTTCTGACTTAGGGACAGTCCATTATTGTTTTTGAGGGGTTTAGGCAATTACCAAAAAAAAATCCTGCAGAGCATAAATGCATGCAAGAAGCTACAGCTATGTCNTCTACTATCCAGGTCCAGGTATTTCATGTTTTAAAAAAATTCATGTACAACCTACAAATGCGAAAAAGATGTTCATGTCCCAGAACAAGGCCCAACCCCGCTCCTCCTCGAAAAATAATGGTGCATCCATTAATTTCCGTGTATAAATGTACACACCTGAAATTATGTGACAGTTGAAATGAACCTCAAGAAATTTGTTGTTTCAACAGCATGTATTTTATCAGCGACAAAGCCAGACAGCTTCAGATGTTCCATATGAATGAGCATAGGCATGCAGTGCATACAAAGACGGACATTGCAGCCCTACCATGCTAGTCATTTTAGTGCATGCAAAGAGCTACGGCTGTGTCACACAATGCATGCAAGAAGCTACAGCTATGTCACACAATGCATAGAATGAGCAACAGTTGTCACAAAATGCAATGCAAAGAGCTACAGCTGTGTAACGTAATATATGCATGCACATGGCTATCACTACATAGCTCTTTGTTGCTTGCCTTTCACACAACTTTACCTCTGTTTCTATAAAAAAAAATGTTTTAAAAAAAAACTTTTGCTTGCAGATCAATATGACAGGAACATTTAATGTGGCTCGCCTTGCAGCAGAGCAGATGGCTAAAAATGAACCTGACAAGGGAGGGGAGAGAGGAGTGATTATTAACACATGCAGTGTTCATGCTTATGATGGACAATCTGGAAAAGTTGCGTATGCAGCAACTAAAGGAGCTATTAATGCTATGACGCTTCCTCTCGCAAGGGACCTGGCACCGCATGGCATTAGAGTGAATTCAATTGCACCAGGTGTGTTTGCTATCTGTCATCTAAATCTGTATGAGGATAACCCTTAATGTGTCATCATTTAGAAGGGTGGGGGAAGGGGTGTGTGCTTGTTTTGGTTCTGTCTGTGGGTTTTTTCTTTGGCATTGATTCACCACATAGCATGTAAAACTCTTTGGCAGTTAGTACAAAGAAAATGTTCAAATGTTGTTTTTGTCTCAAAGAAACCAGATTTATACGATTTTTAACTCAATGATACAGACATCTCTATTACGGATGCTACGCTCCGTCCCCTTGGTTTTCTTATTAAAAGGGTTTTACTGTAAACCACTAGTTGTCAATGTAATTAATTATTAGCTTTATTTCTCGGTTTCAGCGAAATGTGCAATGCAGGCGTGTAAAAGCTTGGAAAGGGTCGAGAAGATTGTATAAACAAGGGCAAGAATAAATTATGATATTTTACAGTTTCACTTGTTTTATTTGATGAAAACGTACAACCGTAAAGCTCTTGGGCGTAGCAGACGTTATCTGTTTCGTTAAGGGAACGGTTTGAGCTCGGAAAAAGACAATTCTAAGACTCCGTTTTCGTTCAAAATTGTTGCTATTCTATTGAAAAGTTTCATTTCTACTCACTTAAGCAAAGCAGTTGGATGAAAGCCACGACAGCATTTTCCTTAAGCTTGGCCAAGTCCGCGGATAAACCCCAGTTTTGCCATAGTATACATTCCGTCCTGTGACCACTGTTTATTTAGTAATCTTTTGTTTGTATCGCGTCTCGCTCACTACCCGTTAATCCGCCTGTTCTGTAGGCTATCATAAAAGTTATTGCATGAAATTTTCGCGACACGTTTATTTCGCGATTTTGTGGTTCGCACATTTCGCGCCGGACACTTAGATTCTGCGATTTTGCGACAAATTTGTATTTTGAATCACTTAAACTTCGCATTTTTGATTAACACAATCTATTTCCTTGGCAATGTTACTAAACATGTACTTCAATTTAGTAAACCGACTTTATCAAAGGTACAATAACATCAAAATTAACAAAAACGCAATGGCTGGAATATATGTCAACAGTAACATAATGTAATTTTCGCGTCATGTTATGTTCGCGACATTTATCGCGTCACTTTAATTTCGCGATTTTTTTTTAAATAGCGAAATTCGCGAAATTAACGTGTCGCGAAAATTGCATGTAAAAAGGTAACCTACAAAATGAACTGGGTAATATTGTTGCCCAACGAAAGAAAGTGAGCTTTGATCTTTTTGAAAACACCCATTGTCTAAGATCCCTAGAGGAAGCTGTGCTTCAAGCACTCTGTTTAGGTAGCATCAGTTTTTTAATGGCCATCATTTGTATTAATTGTGTTTGCAAAACATATTGTGGAGACAGACTGACGCGAGGTTAAATCGCGTGCAAGTTAAAATATCACTTGATTTCATACAATGAATGTTGACTTAGTAACCTGGTTCAGGCGTGTTCGATAAGTTATCAGAGAACAGTAAAAGGACAAAAATTGAGTGAGCCACCCCAGTCCCCTCTCCCTTTTTTCACTCCTTGTTCTTCACGTTACTTTCACAAAGACCAACCGAACAACTAACAAATTGTGTATACTTAATTACTACGTGTCTCATTCTATTCATTGTTCAAAGTTAGCGTTGAGTATATCATCCTATAGAGTTGTAGAAGAGAGGATAAAGGTAAGAGAGTTAACCCCCATAGGTCTTATTCTCAAGGTAATGCCTCTCAGTTCAAGTTATTTTTGGATATGGTATCCAGTTTTCCCGCAGATAATGTTATCACGCGTGTTGCGCAGATGTTTCCTACGAGAATGTTCAAGAAAAACGTTCAAAAAATGTTCAAATGTTGTTTATAGTGGTCAATTCGCTTAGCTACACCTAGCTAGTTCACAGGCATGCCATCAAAACTGAAAGCCAAACATATCAGCTAAACATCATGAGGCTTAAAACTCCCAACTGGCTGGAGGCAGACCAGTTGGCTATTTACAAGCCTGACCAAGGAATTGAACTAGGGTCTACCCAAGAAACAACTCAAGCTTAGTGATAAGAGAGGGACCTGAACCCGCGACCTCCGAAGTCCGGCGGGACAGTCCGGCGCCCTAACTCAACTCTCGGCCACGCTACCCAATTGAAAATGTGTGTTAAGACGCTTGGACTGTCCATGTGAGTAAAATTAGAGTCACAGGATAGGCTATTTTGTTAGTTAAACTCTCCTGAGATTTCATAAGAAGCGGGAGTGATCTAAAAATAAAATAAGTCTCGGACTAAGGTCTATATGGGAGCGTCAATACTCCTACCCTTATCCTCTCATGAGTTCCGTCTTTCAAACTTCTCGGATGAGCACACCATAAGGACGCGCGTCTCCAGTTTGCGACCGCCAGTAGTCTTCTCCAGCCTTTGTTTGGACGGCAGGGATGACTTTAAGGCGGTTGGGATTGACGCGATTTTGGAAAGCAATTTTGTAAGATTTTCTCTCATGCGTGAATTTCTGAGCGTAATATCTCGCGACCATTTCAAGACTGCGGCTCGTGTAGATGCCTTCACCATACAAAGCTCTCGGTCCAGGTTTAAATCCCTCCTTCAGAATCGGGTTAGGGCTCAAGATATCTGTACCATGATAAGAAACGGGCCACTCGCCTGACGCTTGTTCCGAGCGTACGTCATCTGGGCCAAGCCACCTCGTTTTCGTATCTGCCAACAACTTTAACGGCTAATCCTTTCCATTCGTATAGCCTACGGTAAACGAACCCGCCTCCCATGTATGTTGTGCTGTTATCTAATTTAATATCACTGAAGTCAAGGTCGTTTCTGGGATCACTGAAGCGCGTCTGTATATAATCTTAATGCAGATGAACCTGGGACATATTCACCGCCACAAAGACGAAACACCACCGTGACAGTTGAACCATGGCCGATTTTATAGTCGATCAAAGTTCTTGAACCTTCAAGCTGGGCTCCACCAAATACAATGCACAACCCTGTCATACGCTTTCTTGTATGTTTTTGAATTGCAGCTCTGAACTGGTGAAATGTGTACCAGTTTGGCACCGTAAAACAGAAAGCATCGAATCCGATTGAACGATGAATGGGTTCTACGTTTACTAGCACTTCAGTGGACGCCTAAGAAGAAGACGGATCCAACGACATCAGGCAATGGTCCCATAACGTATGTGATCAATTAAAGAATTTGATTTATCGCCTCTACCAAAAATTGCTGTCAGCCCAGCCCTTAACAAGTCCAAATTGGACATTTTCAGGAAGGTGTCGTTGGCAAGCAAAGCAGAATGCCTCTTGATCATATTGCTGACCCATTGAAATACTCTAACTCCTTAAGTATTTAGCGTGACACTCCAATCGCTTTTTTTCTCCTGTTTTACTCCAATGCAATTACATGCACTTGTCACATGTGAATTCAGTTGAAACACCTATTTTAATCGTTTAAGTAAAACTAGGGTGGTTTTGATTCTACCGGTTTCATGCTAGCTGTGAACTGTGTCACAAAACCTCTGTCGGAGAAAAATCATGGCCAAGAATGGGTGAAATAATGAACTAAATGTGCTTCCTGAATACTGATGAGATATAAAAACACGAGGAACATGATTTATAACGGCAGTTTAATCTTTATTTTTAACATGTTACCTTCGCCAATTCAGTCAAACTAAATTGATTTTAGCAGTATTCAAGTTTGCAAAATCTCGAAGATGTTCAAAGGTGCAAACCCTTCATAAACAAAAGATCTCGAAACGAGCAAAACAAATATAACGAAAACCAGTAATGTGTTTTTAAATATCATTACATTTGCATTTACTGTTATAACAAAATAATGCGCGCTTGAGGTCTAGAAAAACTGCTGGCGGACGCACGAGCCAAACTTGAGTGCATTTAGCAGGCCCTTTAGCAGTTCTGGCTTTTAGTCCTCGAAAGTGTATTATTTTCTCAGAAACCACAGGAATATCATCTTCTAGCCTCCTTCTATTTGATATAGAATATATGAGAAAGCAAAAATATTTTAGACGGGACGTACGTTTGAGGTTTCTATCCGAGGATGCGGGCATCAACAGCGCTGAATATATAGCAGTGAGATAAGACTGGGTCGAGGTCGACTTGATATGAAGCTATTCGAAAACAGCTGAAACCTGAGCTGTCTGCGTCCGGTATAGTACGGATTCAGAAAAACACACCCAAAGAAAAGCCAAGATTTAGCCGTTAGTAGCATGCAATTACCTTGTAGGAGATATTCATAAGACGAACTTAGACTAATATATAAAGAGTCTCTCTGTTCTCGTTTGGAGCTAGCTAAGGTAAAACACATGAGTTATTATTATCAGTAACATAGTTCAAGTTAGACCCATGCCTCCTTCAGTGACTCGTCAAATTTTTTAACCTCGCGGGTAAGGACACCATATGCACGAACATCGTCTCCACTTTGCGACAACCAATAATCAGCTCCAACTCCTGTCTGTGAGGCAGGGATGACTTGAAGGCCATTGGGATTAACACGATTCTGCAAAACAATTTTGTAAGATTTTCCCTCATGCGTGAACTCGTGCGCATAAAGCTTTTCAACCATTTCAAGACTGGGGCTCGTGTAGATGCCTTTACCAAACAAAGCTCTCGGCCCAGGTGTAAAGCCCACCTTTGCAATCTGGTTAGCACGCATGATATCCGTACCATGGTAAGACACGGGCCATTCTCCTGTCGCTTGTGCGGTGCGTATGCCATCTGGGCCAAGCCAGTCGTCGTTTTCGTACTTGCCAGCAACTTTAATCGCTAATCTTTTCCAACCGTACGGCCGACGGTACACGAATCCTCCTCTCATGTATGTCTCGCCGTCATCTTTCAGGTTACTGAAATCGAAATCGTATTTGGGATCAAGGTCGTCTGAATTTAGCCTGAAGGGACGTGCAGTACCGCAGGTCGTGCAAACGTCGCCTCCTCCACGTAACTTCAATACCATGTGCAGACACGCACCATGACTTTTGATTCCATAGTCGCCCAAAGTTAACATGTCATCATTTAGCGGCGTCCCTGTTTTGTTGTCAATCAGACATATCCTTGATATAGGGGTGGATTCATTCAAACTCTTGTTGATGGCAACTTTGACTTGAGCAATTGTGTACACCTCAGCCACTGCAAGAGTTATAACTTTTCCGGTAAGAGACTTAAGAGACAAGTCGAACAGTTGACGAGGGTCGACTGACTCCAACGGTCGCCCCATAATATATGTCTTGGAGAAAAGTTCGTGGATAGAAATCAATTCCCCATTTCTCGGCGGTCTTTGCCAGTGTTCACCAAAGATTGCTGTGAACCCAGCGCTTAGCAAATCCACATTTGACATTTTCAGAAAGGCTTTCTCAGGGAACAAGGCAACCAAGCTCTGCTAACAAATGTATTTATTTCTCAATGCGTCGATGCAAGTTGCTGAATCATATACTCCCGGTGGGGAGGGGGGTACTCCAATGTAGAAAGGTCAGGTATGCTCGTTCAACCCCGAAAGGAGACTAATAGCTCGAGCTTTAATTATTTGACCCCTAAAAGATACCACTTAAAACTGAATAGGCTCGCTTACAAGCCGCTATTCAGGAAAGGAGCCCGCAATAATAGAGTGGAATCGAGAAACCGGTGGAAATTGAGCCTTAAAACACCCGGGAGTCACCCCCGGGCATACGCTTGAAACATGGTGCAATCAATCAATCTCTCTTGTCCTGTTTAGCTCGTTTAACGTAATTACGTGTGAATTCAGTCGAAACAGCAAGCCAAGCGAATAGTTATTAGTTCATTTTCATTGGAGTCTATTTTTCATGTTTGAAGCAAGAACGTTCCGAGAATGCCTATTCTTCGAGTTGGATTTCGAGTTGCATCTCGAGTCAGGATCTCGAATCTCTAAATCGATAGTTTACATGAAAATTACAGACTCTGCTCGTAGATTTCTTTTCCACCCGTATGCAAACACTGATAATGAATACCTAGACAGCCATGCGGCCTACTCGCATAAGGCTGATGCTTCTCTCTGCCCCCTTGCATGTGACGACGCATAACAGTTAAGTTCTCTTAGTGACTAGGCTGAGTGGAGACTAATTATGTGATCACGCGAAAACCAATACCTACTTTTGTATCCTCGAAGTTCAAAGGGTAAGCTAGATTAGTAGGCTGTAAATTCAGAAGATTGCACTTGAACTGTTAACCCAAAACCCCAATGAANGTTCGGCAATCAGGAACTAACTGAATGTTGACTCTTTGTAATGGGTCAGCGCTTTTAGTCCTTTCTGTACAGAGGAAGAATTAAACTATCTTGTCAACAAAATCTAAAGGACGGTTTACACGAAAGCACACGGCCCAGTTACATGTTGGAGTGACGAAAGCAAGTACTGTTTACACGACGGACATGTGGCAGTGATATGTCCCATCAGCTCGTGCAACACGAGTTGTCCCTGCAGCATTGCCGCAAAATGCTTGTGTGGACAGTACATGATTTAGCTGGCACGTCATATCACGGCGACTAGTCTCTTCCTGTGTACTGACCTCGACGAGTCAGTGTGCCAAAAATACGTAACATGGTTAGCTTTCTCGTAAACGTCTTTTCAATTCGAGTCGCCAAAGGTGCAAGCAGCATATTTTTAAGTACTGTCGAACTTCTGCACCTAACAAGCACGTCCATAATACGGACACCTGTGTTACAGACAATCCACCTTGTCTCAAAGAAACCAGATTTATACGATTTTTAACTCAATGATACAGACATCTCTATTACGGATGCTACGCTCCGTCCCCTTGGTTTTCTTATTAAAAGGGTTTTACTGTAAACCACTAGTTGTCAATGTAATTAATTATTAGCTTTATTTCTCGGTTTCAGCGAAATGTGCAATGCAGGCGTGTAAAAGCTTGGAAAGGGTCGAGAAGATTGTATAAACAAGGGCAAGAATAAATTATGATATTTTACAGTTTCACTTGTTTTATTTGATGAAAACGTACAACCGTAAAGCTCTTGGGCGTAGCAGACGTTATCTGTTTCGTTAAGGGAACGGTTTGAGCTCGGAAAAAGACAATTCTAAGACTCCGTTTTCGTTCAAAATTGTTGTTATTCTATTGAAAAGTTTCATTTCTACTCACTTAAGCAAAGCAGTTGGATGAAAGCCACGACAGCATTTTCCTTAAGCTTGGCCAAGTCCGCGGATAAACCCCAGTTTTGCCATAGTATACATTCCGTCCTGTGACCACTGTTTATTTAGTAATCTTTTGTTTGTATCGCGTCTCGCTCACTACCCGTTAATCCGCCTGTTCTGTAGGCTATCATAAAAGTTATTGCATGAAATTTTCGCGACACGTTTATTTCGCGATTTTGTGGTTCGCACATTTCGCGCCGGACACTTAGATTCTGCGATTTTGCGACAAATTTGTATTTTGAATCACTTAAACTTCGCATTTTTGATTAACACAATCTATTTCCTTGGCAATGTTACTAAACATGTACTTCAATTTAGTAAACCGACTTTATCAAAGGTACAATAACATCAAAATTAACAAAAACGCAATGGCTGGAATATATGTCAACAGTAACATAATGTAATTTTCGCGTCATGTTATGTTCGCGACATTTATCGCGTCACTTTAATTTCGCGATTTTTTTTTAAATAGCGAAATTCGCGAAATTAACGTGTCGCGAAAATTGCATGTAAAAAGGTAACCTACAAAATGAACTGGGTAATATTGTTGCCCAACGAAAGAAAGTGAGCTTTGATCTTTTTGAAAACACCCATTGTCTAAGATCCCTAGAGGAAGCTGTGCTTCAAGCACTCTGTTTAGGTAGCATCAGTTTTTTAATGGCCATCATTTGTATTAATTGTGTTTGCAAAACATATTGTGGAGACAGACTGACGCGAGGTTAAATCGCGTGCAAGTTAAAATATCACTTGATTTCATACAATGAATGTTGACTTAGTAACCTGGTTCAGGCGTGTTCGATAAGTTATCAGAGAACAGTAAAAGGACAAAAATTGAGTGAGCCACCCCAGTCCCCTCTCCCTTTTTTCACTCCTTGTTCTTCACGTTACTTTCACAAAGACCAACCGAACAACTAACAAATTGTGTATACTTAATTACTACGTGTCTCATTCTATTCATTGTTCAAAGTTAGCGTTGAGTATATCATCCTATAGAGTTGTAGAAGAGAGGATAAAGGTAAGAGAGTTAACCCCCATAGGTCTTATTCTCAAGGTAATGCCTCTCAGTTCAAGTTATTTTTGGATATGGTATCCAGTTTTCCCGCAGATAATGTTATCACGCGTGTTGCGCAGATGTTTCCTACGAGAATGTTCGAGAAAAACGTTCAAAAAATGTTCAAATATTGTTTATAGTGGTCAATTCGCTTAGCTACACCTAGCTAGTTCACAGGCATGCCATCAAAACTGAAAGCCAAACATATCAGCTAAACATCATGAGGCTTAAAACTCCCAACTGGCTGGAGGCAGACCAGTTGGCTATTTACAAGCCTGACCAAGGAATTGAACTAGGGTCTACCCAAGAAACAACTCAAGCTTAGTGATAAGAGAGGGACCTGAACCCGCGACCTCCGAAGTCCGGCGGGACAGTCCGGCGCCCTAACTCAACTCTCGGCCACGCTACCCAATTGAAAATGTGTGTTAAGACGCTTGGACTGTCCATGTGAGTAAAATTAGAGTCACAGGATAGGCTATTTTGTTAGTTAAACTCTCCTGAGATTTCATAAGAAGCGGGAGTGATCTAAAAATAAAATAAGTCTCGGACTAAGGTCTATATGGGAGCGTCAATACTCCTACCCTTATCCTCTCATGAGTTCCGTCTTTCAAACTTCTCGGATGAGCACACCATAAGGACGCGCGTCTCCAGTTTGCGACCGCCAGTAGTCTTCTCCAGCCTTTGTTTGGACGGCAGGGATGACTTTAAGGCGGTTGGGATTGACGCGATTTTGGAAAGCAATTTTGTAAGATTTTCTCTCATGCGTGAATTTCTGAGCGTAATATCTCGCGACCATTTCAAGACTGCGGCTCGTGTAGATGCCTTCACCATACAAAGCTCTCGGTCCAGGTTTAAATCCCTCCTTCAGAATCGGGTTAGGGCTCAAGATATCTGTACCATGATAAGAAACGGGCCACTCGCCTGACGCTTGTTCCGAGCGTACGTCATCTGGGCCAAGCCACCTCGTTTTCGTATCTGCCAACAACTTTAACGGCTAATCCTTTCCATTCGTATAGCCTACGGTAAACGAACCCGCCTCCCATGTATGTTGTGCTGTTATCTAATTTAATATCACTGAAGTCAAGGTCGTTTCTGGGATCACTGAAGCGCGTCTGTATATAATCTTAATGCAGATGAACCTGGGACATATTCACCGCCACAAAGACGAAACACCACCGTGACAGTTGAACCATGGCCGATTTTATAGTCGATCAAAGTTCTTGAACCTTCAAGCTGGGCTCCACCAAATACAATGCACAACCCTGTCATACGCTTTCTTGTATGTTTTTGAATTGCAGCTCTGAACTGGTGAAATGTGTACCAGTTTGGCACCGTAAAACAGAAAGCATCGAATCCGATTGAACGATGAATGGGTTCTACGTTTACTAGCACTTCAGTGGACGCCTAAGAAGAAGACGGATCCAACGACATCAGGCAATGGTCCCATAACGTATGTGATCAATTAAAGAATTTGATTTATCGCCTCTACCAAAAATTGCTGTCAGCCCAGCCCTTAACAAGTCCAAATTGGACATTTTCAGGAAGGTGTCGTTGGCAAGCAAAGCAGAATGCCTCTTGATCATATTGCTGACCCATTGAAATACTCTAACTCCTTAAGTATTTAGCGTGACACTCCAATCGCTTTTTTTCTCCTGTTTTACTCCAATGCAATTACATGCACTTGTCACATGTGAATTCAGTTGAAACACCTATTTTAATCGTTTAAGTAAAACTAGGGTGGTTTTGATTCTACCGGTTTCATGCTAGCTGTGAACTGTGTCACAAAACCTCTGTCGGAGAAAAATCATGGCCAAGAATGGGTGAAATAATGAACTAAATGTGCTTCCTGAATACTGATGAGATATAAAAACACGAGGAACATGATTTATAACGGCAGTTTAATCTTTATTTTTAACATGTTACCTTCGCCAATTCAGTCAAACTAAATTGATTTTAGCAGTATTCAAGTTTGCAAAATCTCGAAGATGTTCAAAGGTGCAAACCCTTCATAAACAAAAGATCTCGAAACGAGCAAAACAAATATAACGAAAACCAGTAATGTGTTTTTAAATATCATTACATTTGCATTTACTGTTATAACAAAATAATGCGCGCTTGAGGTCTAGAAAAACTGCTGGCGGACGCACGAGCCAAACTTGAGTGCATTTAGCAGGCCCTTTAGCAGTTCTGGCTTTTAGTCCTCGAAAGTGTATTATTTTCTCAGAAACCACAGGAATATCATCTTCTAGCCTCCTTCTATTTGATATAGAATATATGAGAAAGCAAAAATATTTTAGACGGGACGTACGTTTGAGGTTTCTATCCGAGGATGCGGGCATCAACAGCGCTGAATATATAGCAGTGAGATAAGACTGGGTCGAGGTCGACTTGATATGAAGCTATTCGAAAACAGCTGAAACCTGAGCTGTCTGCGTCCGGTATAGTACGGATTCAGAAAAACACACCCAAAGAAAAGCCAAGATTTAGCCGTTAGTAGCATGCAATTACCTTGTAGGAGATATTCATAAGACGAACTTAGACTAATATATAAAGAGTCTCTCTGTTCTCGTTTGGAGCTAGCTAAGGTAAAACACATGAGTTATTATTATCAGTAACATAGTTCAAGTTAGACCCATGCCTCCTTCAGTGACTCGTCAAATTTTTTAACCTCGCGGGTAAGGACACCATATGCACGAACATCGTCTCCACTTTGCGACAACCAATAATCAGCTCCAACTCCTGTCTGTGAGGCAGGGATGACTTGAAGGCCATTGGGATTAACACGATTCTGCAAAACAATTTTGTAAGATTTTCCCTCATGCGTGAACTCGTGCGCATAAAGCTTTTCAACCATTTCAAGACTGGGGCTCGTGTAGATGCCTTTACCAAACAAAGCTCTCGGCCCAGGTGTAAAGCCCACCTTTGCAATCTGGTTAGCACGCATGATATCCGTACCATGGTAAGACACGGGCCATTCTCCTGTCGCTTGTGCGGTGCGTATGCCATCTGGGCCAAGCCAGTCGTCGTTTTCGTACTTGCCAGCAACTTTAATCGCTAATCTTTTCCAACCGTACGGCCGACGGTACACGAATCCTCCTCTCATGTATGTCTCGCCGTCATCTTTCAGGTTACTGAAGTCGAAATCGTATTTGGGATCAAGGTCGTCTGAATTTAGCCTGAAGGGACGTGCAGTACCGCAGGTCGTGCAAACGTCGCCTCCTCCACGTAACTTCAATACCATGTGCAGACACGCACCATGACTTT